GGTGATGATGATGATGGGGGTGATGATGATGATGGGGGTGATGATGATGATGGGGGTGATGATGGTGATGATGATGATGGGGGTGATGATGGGGGTGATGATGGGGGTGATGATGATGGGGGTGACGATGATGGTGGTGATGATGATGGTGGTGATGATGATGATGATGGGGGTGATGAGGATAGTGGTGATGGTGATGGAGCTGGTGATGATGGGGATATTGAAGGCTGTTACTGATCCTAAATAAATGCTGGCTCTGTGCCGAACACTTTGCCATGTATTAACTCATTTAATCCTCACATTGACATAGATACTAGTATTTACCTCTACGGATAAGGAGACTGATGTCCAAAAAGGGGCAGTCACTTGCTGAAGGCCATATAGCTATTAGTGTTGTAATCAGAATTTGAACCCAGGGAGTCTGACCTTGGAACACCTGCTTTTAACCAAAACGTCTTATAAAATACAGCGGGCTCACGTGCCTACCCGGACTGTTCTCCCATATCTGCTACTGCCTCCAGCCTGCCTGTGCTGCCCTGATCATTACTGCAAATGGCTGGATTCATCTTTGTCAGGTTTGCACTTTCCCCCAAATTTGAATTAACCTCGACATTAATTTGCTGATCAAGCGCCTGCAGTAGGTCATATAGCACGAGCACCTGTGATATGCTAATACATTTCCAAGGAAATTATTGTAATGTGCTAAATGGGAGATTTAAAGGTTACTTGTTCCCCTGCAATCTATGAACTGTTTTATGAAAAAGTCATAACTGAAATAATTGAAGTGTCAGGAAGAAAAAAAAAGAGAGATAAAAGTCCAATCAACAATTCTCTTACCACGTACCCATCGTCCTGATTTTATTTGGTGTTTTGGCAATGCACCAACTCTCGAAAAAAGAGAGATAAAAGTCCAATCAACAATTCTCTTACCACGTACCCATCGTCCTGATTTTATCTGGTGTTTTGGCAATGCACCAACCCTCGAGTTTTGCTCTGGACAGAGGGAAAAGGGAGGAGGGAGAAACCCACAGAATCACAAGTGTCACAGTTTGGGGGCCTGAGTTAGGTAGTGGGCTCCCCATCCCTGGAGGTATTCAAGCACCCCATGAATGGCCTCCCAGATGGGGTGCTATTGAGAGGATCAATGAATTCTGTGGTTGCTGACCCAGCAGATACCCAAGGAGCCCTCCACCCCTGAGCTTCTAGGGTTCTCAGAACTTAGGTCTGGTCCAGAGAAGTAAAGTGACCTCATGGTCACACAGCAAAGTCAAAACTGGATTCAGGCCTTGTGATGTCTAGTCCTGGCTCTTTCCAGACTGAGTTTGGGGAAGAGACGCTGGGAAGGAGCGTGGTGGGCAGGCTGGGGGTCAGATGTGCTAGGGACAGGGAGAGACTGGAGACCAATCTTGGATTACTACAGGAGGCGGAGTAGGGTGTGTGTGTGTCTAAGCTTTGAACAGTTAGCTCTGCAATTCACAGGAATGAATAATACATTGAAGGAACATTAAATAGCATCAAAGCCAGAAACGATATCTGGCCAGGAGCCCAGAGTCTATAAACAGCTTGGCTTAGTCCTGGAGCCACGTTTCTGGAGAGTCCAGGTCTGTACAGAGCACATCTGGCCCGAGGCTCTGACCTCGCTGGGGCCAGCAGTACAGGTTCGTGGAGGAGGCAGCCACCAGCAGGGTGTGATATCAGCTGATTCTGTCTGCCTTTACTGAATCTGCAGATCTCTTTCCTGCCAGTGCCTGATTTTCCACCACTGTGGATTTCTGGGGGGAGGTGTGGATGGCAGGGGTCAGGCGTCGCCCTCGCAGCTTTCTCTAGGAGGCTCTCCCAATTTCGGTGTTCAGAACCCACCGAGGATCGTGTTAACGCACAGCTTCTCCTCAGCAGGTACAGGGAGGGGACTTTCTACACCTTCCAGATGATGCGGCCCTGCTGGTCCCCAGACTGTGCACTGAGTGGTGGGTTAGATAAAGGACCCACCAAGTAACGTGCTTTTTCCTGGCTCTCTGCCATTTTAGACAGGAGAGCTTGGGTGATCTGAAGCCACTGTGCTAAGAAGCTAAGACTCACGGTCGGAAGATTCTGTGAGCCTGAGACTGGATTCACCTTGGAGGGAGACATGGAAAGAGAGTAGGGGTCTGAGGCTATAGAGCTCTGGGTTCAGATTCTGGCCATCACCCCTTGCTGTCTGCCCCAGGGCAGGTTAATGAACCTCCCTGAGCTGTCCTTTGCTCTTCTGTGTGGTGTGCGTCATACCCAAGTGCAGCAGTGCCTAGTACTAGACTATAGTAACACCTAAGAACCGTCCCAGCAGTACCTTGGCCTCGGGTGGCTGTGAGGACAAATGGAAAATGAGTGGAGGAAGACCTGGCACTCGACGGAGAGCCAGGGGGATTGGCACCCAGGGGAGAGAGCCTCCACCTGGACGGTCTGGGCAGGGCTGCAGGCTGCTCTAGGGCTCCTGGCCCCCGTGGACACACCCCAAGGGAGGGGAAAGTGGGCGCCAGCCAGAGGGGCCACCTGCCAGTCTGCCAGGAGTTCAGAGAAAAGCCCAGAAAAAGGGCCCCAACTCCAAGTCAACGCCCAGGTTCCCAACCTTTAGAAAAACCCCTCCTCACCCCTCCTTGCCTCTCCTCACCCCTCCTTGCCTCTCCTCACCCCTCCTCGCCTCTCCTCACCCCTCCTCGCCTCTCCTCACCCCTCCTCGCCTCTCCCACCCCTCCTCACCCCTCCTCGCCCCTCCTCATCTCTCCTCACCCCTCCTC